TTGTGGTTTGTTCCCCAGTGCCTGCGGTTTGCAGCTTGAGGCAGGTGTTAACAAAGCCATCCCTGCACGCGGTCCTGACGCTGTGCACAATACTTTCCGCCCGCGTGTGGGTCTTGCAAGACACTGAAGCAAGTTGGATTTGGATTTCTAAACAAAAATAGGCTTGGCAGCCGAAGTTCACACTCTTTGGTCTTTGAGAGCCGCGGCGGGTATTCACTTGGCCAGTCCATTTAGAGCGTGGCCTTTGGCCCTTAGTGCCCTCCCAGATGGTCTCAGGACCATGTGAAAAGTCTGTGCCTGAAATCCTAGATCTTTGCGGATAGCCTACCGAAGCGAACTCTGATTGCAGCTTGAGAAGATAGACTCCGTGAATTGTGCTCCGGAGTCTCATCCACAGACTGCCCCAGAACTTGGCGAGGAAGGTGCATCTGGGCAACGCGACATCTATCAACTCCTTGTACCTGCATACAAACTGGCATCTCTCTGGCAAGAGTTTGACTGGTCAGAATTGAAATGTGCCTGGAAGACCTCTCCAAGTTTCCTTCGGGCGACAATTTTACCTTCTCCCCGCATACGGTATTTAGCCCCCTATGCCATTTTGGACGCATGGCACAAGCCTAACCAATCCGCGAGAAACTGCCCGACGCCTCTGCCGCTGTGGTCTTGGAAGCGCCAATGGCTTCCCCGATGTCTGACCTGTGCAGCCATGCAAGGCCCCAGTTTGGAGCGATTTCTTAGTTTAAGCCCCGAAAGTGCTGCTGCGGTAGCCGACGCAGTTCTGCCAGCCATGGATGGCCGGTGAGAACCTTGGTATTGACAGATGTCCACGCAGGTTGCCGCACATGTCAGACGACTTGTATGTGATCCCTGCACCTGCAGTGGAATCCTGTTTTTGTACACATTAGCTGGAGTTGAATTGGATAGAATTTAATTCAGTTTGACATATAATATACTTCTTCAGTTGTTGGCTTTGAACTGTTGGCAACATCTTGCAGGTTAGTGTACCATGATCTGTATGTATACGTATACACACACTCTCTCTCTCTCTATCTATATGTACATGGCATGGAATTGCCTTCTATACATGCTATGCTTCCGTGGACACTGTTTATTCTCCACTGCACCCTAAGCCCTAAGCCCTAAAGCCATCAATCCCCAAGGCCCTGAACCCCTAAAACCCTGAAGCCCTAAAGCGAAAAACCCTGAGCGCTAAGCTGAAGCGACCACTGACAAGCTCAGGTGGGCCCATCTCACGGGCCCTGGGGTCATCGCAAGTCAGGGCCCGTGTCTGGCTCCAAGACTTTTGAGAAGCAGTTGCTTGGGCCTGGGGGATGTACAGGGTTTAGGGTCTTGGGCTTTTTGGGGTTGGGGAGATTTCGCCGTTCGGGCGGTCTCGGACTTAGGGTTTTTAAATATGGGGTGTCTATGAGGGTTTAGGGTAGCACCATGAAGGTAGCACAGGTTCTTTTGAATGCGCGATCAAGGTGGGCCTCAGGTGTTGCTTCGATGTCAAGCACTAGTCTCACTGTTCCAAGGATAGAAAGGGCAGTAACAATGCTGAAGAAGACACCATGCGACATAGCGCTTGTGAACCAGCTTCAGCAGGTTGAAACCCGTCGCCCTAAAGCTTGTTCAACCCTTGTTTGCTGAAGGGATGCTGATAGCAAGCCCAAAAAGAGATCCCTGGAAGGAACCCAACGAAGCCCTTATACGGAGCCCTTACTGACGAGTTCTTGGGCCCAAGAAAGTCCCGAAGCCCTGATGCCTCAACCCTTCGTCTCCTTGGGGAGGTGGCGGCTCTGACGCGTGAGCTTCAGGCAGCCTGCAAGGCCTGGCCTGGCTTTTAGGGTTTAGGGGTTTAGGGTTTAGGGGTTTAGGGGTTTAGGGTTTAGGGGTTTAGGGGTTTAGGGTTTAGGGTTTAGGGTGAGGATTGGGATTAAAGGGATGTATATGGGATTCAGGGGATGTAAGGTACTCGTAGGGCATGTAGGTCTAAAGCTGAGAACTGACACGAATTGAAGGTTTGCATCCTGCTTACTTTTACAGTTTGTTTCGTGCCTCTAAAGAGTTGAGCTTGAAAGTATGTCGGGTTAAGATTACTGGTTTGAGTTCGCATTCGAGAGTTTGGGGTTTCGGATTCAAGTTTGAGGTTAAAGCTTTAAATGCAATGCACCAGGGGTTTGCGTTACTCTTTGGGATTTTGGGGTGTGGGATATTGCGAGCCCTAACCCCACACCCTAAGCTCAACTCTCTTAGGTCCAACTCTCTTAGGCCTGTCCACGGGTTTAAACCCTAAACCTCAAACCCTACACCTGAAACCCTTAACCCTAAACCTGAAACCCAAAATCCTGAAACCCTAAACCCTAGGACCTACCCCTTGAAATCTCAATTTCAAGTTCGGGAAGTTGGAGCCTGGAGGCAAACGGCAAAGGCTGGCAGCATGCGCCCGGATCTCGCCCGGGCAGGAGGTTTTAGTGAGTTTTCTCCTGGAAGGCTGGAGGCGTTTGCTTTAGTGTTGGTGCTTTTTAAAGCTATTGTTGCTGTTATCTGTGTTATGTCTATCGTTCCATGATTCTGGGGCAGCGATTAGGATGATGGTGATGGCGATGACGATGAAAATGATGTTTACGATGATGCTGCTGCTGCTGATGATGACGATGATGATTATGATGATTATAATGGTGCTGCTGCTGATGACGATGATGACGATAACAATGATAATTATGAGGGTTTTATGATACAGATGATGATGATGGTGATGATAACGATGTTGTTGATAATGTGGATAAAGATGCGGAGGATGGTCGTGACTCATCCCTACCATGTATGATGGCTAACTGAGTGGGTGGATGGATGGATGGCTGGATGGATCGAAAATGCTGGACGTGGATGACAACACTGATGATGATGACGATGACGACGGCGATGGCGATGACTATGATGATAGCGATGGTGCTGATCATCTCTGAGACGTCAACCCGAAAAACTCAAAATCCAAAACCCTAAACCGGAGGGTGAGCCCAGGTTAGGTCTCCTTTTCGATGAGCTGGACAACTCGGACCGCACGGGAAGGCCGGCGGAAGTTCCAGCACCAAGACGGATAGAAATTAGCATGGTGAAGAGTAGCAGTCAAGGTATCGTTGCCGTACAACACAATGGCAAGAACAGTGAGAGGAGAGATGTTGTTCGGCAGCAGCAGCAGCAGTACTAATGCTACAAGTACCAGGATTCCGACGATACTACTATGATGTGTAAGAATAAGGAGAAGAGTAGTAGCAGTTACTTCAACCCGAGCATTGTGAGCCATCCATTGGCAAGAGCTAAAGATCGCTCAATCTCGCGGCGCAGCGGAGGGCCATTCCGGTGATAAAGTGAAGAGAGTTGCTTCGCCAGGTAATTGCCATGTGGTTCAAGCCAGGGATGTTCAAACCGCAGATCAACTTCGTAATGGGATCTAAAGACTGTCCACATGCAGCAGTCAACCATTCGAGAATGCATGTCGTCTCAGACGGTTTTAAATCCAGAAGTGACTAGTAGTTACTAGCACATCACCCACAACAGCCAGTTCTATAGTCCGGACAAGCTTCGCAGCCTCCACTGCTGCAGCGCCGCCGCCCTAGTGACGATGACGCGCTCCGCTCGGCACCTGTGGTTAGCGTGCTAAGGACTTGCGAAGGATGGGAAAGTCGCCCATGAAGAAGAAGGTCTTTGGCGGTGTAGAAGTGAGCATGATCCCTTCACATCGAAGTGTTTCTCTGCCAGAGGCCGCGGCGTCCAGTACGCGTAAGACGAACAAGAAGAAGATGGTTCCGAGGAACGGAGCCCGAGCTCTGCCCTCAGCCTTGAGAACCACGAAGATCTTTCGCAACAGTTCCTTGTCTTAGCTCCTTTTCAGGTGGACCGTCGAGGCCTTCGCTGGGCCTTGCAGGCCCGGGCTTTGCTTGAATCTCCTTTGTCGCAAAGTGCGAGACACTCATTTCTGGGCGCTCAGGCGCTCTTGAAGGAGAAGGACGGGGACGGGTTCGGGAAGTCTTCCATTCTTATTCGTGATTATGATTTTCTGCCAGCTAGTACATGCGATCAGTGTTGGTACTATGTTCCCAGTTATCGATGCCTGGGTCGCAGGGCGGAAGAACAGACCTGCAGTACGAGAAAGTGCAGCTCGGCTGAGAACGAATAAGGATCTGTAATCGGCTTGAGCCTTGGCCTGTTATGGCTCTTGGAGTTTAGTGGTTGGGAGTGGTTTTATGAAGAAGCGGAGGGCTTGGGCATTTTGGAACACGGGGCTTCGGGGTTTTGATTTAGCATTTGGGGACTTTGTGGTCTTGGCTTTAGGTGGAAATCATTCATACTTTGACCTCCGCGAAGTATGAAGGTCTTGGATTTCTCATGAAGGCTCGCCAAAGTCTTTAGCCCGTTTTCGCTTTACGGAAGCCAGACCGCAAGATTGCAATTTGCAGCTGCCTCACATCCTGAGGCCCTTCCGTGTTCTCAAATAGTTCTTTTGGCAGCAGACCAACTCTAAACATGTCAACATGGCCGATCGGCATCGGAGCCGCTCCCAAAGAAGATCCCTTCACATGCATCTCCAAAGCCAGCACTTTCGCCAAAGCCGGTTGAGTCGTAGATATGGCTTGGGTGCGGCGGCAGAGACTTCTGTTTGCTTCCGCATGTTTCCGCATACTTCACTTGCATGCAGCTTAGCAGCTTGCTTGCAAGGACCAAGACGCATGACAAGGTCATGCGCGAGGCCCGCGATGATTGCAGGGCCGTTTGCAGCAGAGCTTGCAGACTGCCAACGCGCAGGTGCCCATCGAAAACCGAGCTGGCTATCCACTCGTGTTCCCCAAGGGGTCCGTTGATCCGAAGAAGTGGCGCACGAAGGAGGGCAAGGACTGCATTCGACACATGCCACGGGCAGAAGCGCCTGTTTTGTCAAGCTGTGCTGTCATGCTGTGTCGGGAGGAGCAACATGTTTCTTTGGTAGTGCACCAAACATAATGTTGTTCTCTGGGCAGGAAGTCATCGTCGACTTTCACCGTTGCTTGGCCGAGTGAATGTGCAACTGTGCAACAGCACAACATCTAGAAAACAAACCTTGATATCATCTTTGTCCAAGGCGCCAAGTGGCTCCCGGATGATTGGGGCCAGGGTGTCAAGGCGCCGATATCACAGGGTCACAGAGTTTCGGGTTTTGCCGGAGAGCGGGTGCACCTGCGTTTTTGGCCATGGTGTGCCATTGTACCACGTCCCCTGGCAGTGCACCAATCGCATTGCGCGTAGCCGCGGTGGTGGCGGAACTTACACAGTGCCTTGGTCTGGAAATTAAGGGCTGCACTCATGCTTCTGATAGCAATCAACAAAGCCGACCAAGCATGGTTCACGGTGTTCGTCAATGTTTCTTGCCAGTCTCGTTAGCTTTTCCTACATTTCATGCATGAGGACCCCCATCACTGCATCAGTTGATCGCTGTGTGTAGTTCCTGCAACTAAGGTGATTATCAGCCCGGATGGTCGCGTATTCTACCATCGCAAAGCTGCGGAGGAGCACTATGGCAAGGCCTGAGCATGTGAAGTGGAGCACTGAAGTTGTTTGCCTCAATCTGCAATCCTCCGCTCCTGAGCCTCATTAAGCCTAAAATCAAGCCCTAGATCCTGAAAAGCCTCGGAACCCCGAATCGTGCCGCATTCGCAGAAACCCTAGTCTAGTACATAAGCCTCGGCAATCATAGTAACTACAGTAGCAGTACTTTTTCTTAGGGTTCCGTATCAGAAGTATAGTATAGCGAAAGCCCAGAACCCTGTTCGAATTCAAAATGTCGAAAAATTGCTGAGGCTGAGCCCCACGCCCGAAACCCTTGCACCTGAAACCCTTACCCTGAATCCCCACAACCCTGGGCCCTGCACCCTCAAAAAACTCTAAACTCGAACGCTGACACCCTAAACACCCTTAAACCGTAACCCTTCAGCCTTCAAGCCGAAACCCACAATCCCAAACTCTAAACCCCCAAGCTGAAAAGCCCTATAGACGCCAAACCCCAAAGTCTGAACGACCTACCCGCTTGATGTTTGCAGTCCTTCAGTGACGAGTTGGGCTTCCAGGGCCAGGTGGGAAGAAGCGAACTTCCTTTCTTGGGGGTGGTAGGATTCAGGGTGTAGGGTTTAGGGTGTTTAGGGTGTTTAGGGTTCAGGTGTAGGATTCACTAAGTAAAGGAACTGAAGTGTTTCTAGTCTACGGGTCTTGTTTTGGGTGCTTGGGATTTGGTTGCAGGGTTGTCAGTTTTTGGAAAGACGCCATAGCCCCAAACCCCCAGATCCTGAATCCGATCGTTACGCTTCTGGCAAGGAGGGTTGAAGGGTTGAACGATTTCGAGGTTCAGGTTGTTGACTACCGGGACATTGCTTCTCGATGCGTTCGAGATGCCCGGCATACATCAGTCTTTTTTGGGTGCTTGGCAAAATGCGGTGGTTTAATTGTCGGACTCTGCTAGGTAGGATCCTCATTGCAAAGTGATCGATTTCCCTCAATAGAACACAGGAAGCTCGAGTCTCGACTATTTCGACTTTTCGACGTAAAACATCTTGGTCGAAGTTGCAGCTTCACAAATGCAACCTGACTCAAGGGACACGGCGCCTACTGTAGCGTCTCGCCTGTTTTTCAACCCACAAGCTCATGAGCGCGATGGTGCCTTTCAAAGACGGTTTCTAACCTGTGCTGACTCTGTTGCAGTGATCCCTAAACCCTCTTTGGGTGGTGGCGAAAGGTGCGCTTGGCGAAGCTGAAAGCCAAAGAGGCCGCTTGGGCCCCAGCGCAGACAGGCGCACGCACTGCAGGTACGGGCATGCAGCCGCGCTAGATAGAGAATCTCCGACTAAAGCCCGTAGGGTTCCAGAAGAGAGTCTCAACGAAGTTAGATTGAGCTTGTTGGCAGTGGAAGGTTCAGCTCGTTCGCCTGCAGATCAAGGACTGGCAGCGCACTCCTGTAGGCGGTCGAAGACTGTAAGTATAGTGGCACCTGACATGAGCCAGCAGCTCATTTTTCAGAGGATGTCGAAAGATCGCGCCATAGCTCCACTTGTGAAGGAGATTCCGAACCGACCCAAAGGTGACATTCGGAAACTTGGGCAACAAACGAGGTATCTCGGGGAAAGCTGAGCTCCGGGCATATGTGGTCCGTTTAATGTTCTCATTGATTATGCTGAGTATTCTTCTGATCACTGTGGCTGTACATTCTTCAAAAGCATTAGGTATGCTTCGTCATTCTTTCTTCGAATTAAACCTGTAGCTTCGGAGGCGGACATCCAATCTCTGATGTGACGTGCTTAAGTTGATCGCATGTTCTTGTTACTTGTTTCGCGCAATCTGTAATCGAACAGCTCCCGATGAACACTAAACTACGCCCCACAGTGCTAGAAAACGCGAGGTTTTGTCTTCTTGTGTTCGAGCGACGCATCGCAACACCCGAGCGTCCAATCCTGGGGTTGACAAAATGCATGAGGTGTCATGGGAGTAATCGGGTGGTGCGAAGTTACAAGGTTTCAGGAGTTTTGAATAAGCTTCAAGTGCTGAGGACGGATGCAGCTGAGTCGCTTTTCAAGCTTCTGTCTCCAGAGGAGAGGAAATGTGAGGGACCCGGCGAAGTGAGTGCAGTCGCTTCGTAGAGTCAGGGTCTGGGCTTTGGAGAATCCATGGCTGCCATGGCTATGGCTCCCATGTACGCTGCAAAGTTGCCGAAGGCATCCCAAAAGCGTCGGAGTTCCACTTCTGCGTGGTCTCAGCTCGCCGCGCGTCGACAGCGCAGACGCTCGGAACGGGGGCCGCTCAGATCGCGTTCGGCTGTACGCCTTTGCAAGAAATTTAGGTCGAAGGTGTCCAGGACATCTTCAAGGTGCAGTGCCAGTTTGACGAGGCAGGAGTGATGCTCAGATGCACGAAGTGGCGCTCAGAAGTCAGAGCATGTCGGAACCAGTTTTCACAGCCAAGGGTGCCGACTTGGTACGTGGATTCTGACAGCGTCAAGGACCCTGCGCTTCGGAGATCCCTAGATCCAAAATCTCGAAACTTCAAGCCACAATTTCAATCACATAAGCTCTGAACTACAATCACGCCTGAGCACCCTTTGCACTGCTCCAGTTGCAGCACCATGGGACCGACTGCATAAAGCAATGCCACGCCACGCCGACAAGTGGCCTCCGCAGGATTGTCTTCGGCCCGAACCCATGAAGCCTGATAGAACTCACGCCCTAGACCCTGACCTATGAAGCCATGTAGAACCTCATAGGAACCGTTGCAGAAACCTGTGTTACAGAACCTTGTCTTGAAAGGAGTACCGCAAACTTGGCCTGCAGGCAGTCGAAGGTGGAGCTGGGTGGGATGACAGCGGAGTTTCAGCCATTCCAAGTCATTCCTATCATAGTGTATGCCTTGATCGCCGTGCTGTCGATCAAATGACTCTTACTGTTGTTATTGTTCATGTTGTTTTTTACCAGTATGCTGACTACGGTTCAGTCATGGTCACTATTTCTGTTTCAGTTGTGTTTGCATGTCAGACTGTTGCAGGTAAAAGTAACCCAGAGTACAGTATGCACAATGCATGTGGATTGCAGGCAGGATAGCATTTGAGCAGGAAAGGGCAGTGCAGCACCGGCCCCAAGCACTTCGATGTTTGTCCCCTATCTATGATTTGGGCTATAGTATGCTATAGGTTCAGGGTAGTTCAGGCGCTGCCCCAATGAAGCCTCAAGCACAAACCCTAAGCCCTCAACCCTTAAGCCTGAACACCTTCCCCAAACCCCGAAACCGTTAAACCCTACAGCCCGAGGCCCTAAATCCTAAACCCTGAACCCCTTAGCAGGCGGGCGCCTCTGCCCTTCGCGGAACAAGGCTCTGAAGGAGCACTGGCTGAATTAGAGGGGCCTGACACCTAGGTAAGTTACTCTGCGCTTTTGTGCAGGTTTTGCGGTTTGGAGGCTTTTGCTGTGGATTCTAGGCGCTGCCAGGATCGGACTTTACTTAACTTTACTCAGGGAAGGGGGGGGGTTGGGGGGAAGGCTGATTTCGTTCTGGCGCCTCCAACTTTGTCTAAACAATGGGCTTTGAACCCATGCCCGCCAGCAAAAGTCAAGACAGTGCTCAGGTTTGGGGAAGCCTGGATTATAAGGAAGGAAAAGATGGGCTTTGAACCCATACTGCCAGCAAACGTCAAGACAGCGCAGACATGCCTCTGAGAATAATAGTCAGTGTAGAGAAAACGCGCACCGCCCGAAGTTTCAAGCCTACATTGTCCCGTCAGAGCACACTTGTGGCTCCTGTCTCATAATTGGGTAGTTGTCAAAATTAGGGTCCCTTTTGGGGTACCCTAAATAGTAGGTGCCGTATTATAATAAGGACCCAAAAAGGGACCATAATTTTGACAACCACCCAGTTAATGAGAGTTCGGTGTTGTATTCTCTTCGGGACTCAAACCGGGCATGCAGTTTAGAAGACCAGCCAAAACCAAAGGGTATCATCGTAAGATCAGGTATGCAAAGACCATCTGTGATGGTTTCTTCCTTTGTGAAGACACTGCACCGAAGAATCTCATTGTTATTGTGTTATCCGGGCATAGAGCGTTGTATTTGGGGGCATCTAGGTGCTGCCCTCGGTTGCTGATCAGGATGCAAATCTACTGGGAAAGATTTGCGTCCAGGCGCGTCAGACGCAGAGCAAAACGCGGCTCTCCATCCATGCTTCCAAGTTTTGTCACAAGCTGACTTACTCTGTTTCTGCAGAATCTGCATCATCTTAAGCTTAGCCGCACTCTCTCTGGGGCTGGACTGTTCGGGGTGGAGGCTTCTGACGACATTTCCGCGTGGGAGCGCCCTGGCTTTGGCAATCTACAGCAGTCATTTCTGAAGATCCGGTTGGGGGGCAGCACTGCTTGGCAGAAGAGGTATGTATTCAAATTCCAGGTATCGACACGGCAAGCGAGCTGCCAGCAGAGATGATGCCACTTTGAAGCAACGTTCACGATCATGCGGTAAGCCGTACTGAATCCTGAGCTTACAGCTGTGAGGCACTGTGCAATGCAGCCTGGGCGAAAGCGAAGCGCCGCCAGAAGCATTGATGGAGCAATTTTGACTTTCCGCGTGCAGTTCACCGCTCTGCCTTCTTTATGGTGTTCGAGCAGTCAGGCTGACTTGACAAGAACACTTACCGCTTTGACAGGCGGTATCTGCTGTCTCCGCTCACCGCCGCCCAGTTCATCGTCGCAAAGATGAGAGGCCATGCGGGGTCATGCATCCACGGAACCAGATGAGATCGACATTTTGCATGGGAAGACTGCTTTCATACTTGCATGACGTGCATTCAAACTCTCAGCACGCTTAGTCGCAGCAGTTTCGTCTACGAACAGAGTATGCCGGTACTAACGATTCTTGTAGTAGTCGTGCAAATTGAAAAACGACACGTCGTGTACTGAGAGATGCTAGCAGCCGTTGTTTACTGACATGACTTGGCATGGATGCAACAATATGCCTGTATGGGATGGGTTCTGGCTGACCACAGAGCAGTGTTCAATGGGTTGGAGGACCATCGCTTATTCTACGCTGTATGTCATTATCAGCTCCTCACATCGCAGGACCGGCATCGTAGACTCGTAGCTGCTCGTGAGTCAAGAACCTGCACTTCCAAAGTTGATCCCGCTCTTCCCGACCAATTTAACTCCCGAAACAGTGATTTCTAGACATCAAACCCCAAGTCTTAAACCTTGAACCCCAGACCCTCGATGTCTCAACTTGTAGCCACCACGAGCCCCAAACCCTAGACCTCTAATGCAAAGCCCTAGAATCCCTCACAGAATCGCCTGTCCTTTGTTATTACGACTGAAATCCTCTGCCATGCAGGAGCTCCGAACCCGAAGCCAAAGCTGGGAGGGGCCACGCGGCAGCATGGACCGAACAAGCACCTGAAACCGGTATGCACGCAAGGAAGGTAGATATGAATATATGATATATGTACAAATATACATATTTATAAATGCAAATATGATATATATGTATATACACATATGTATATGTACATATGCATGTATGTATATATGTATATATGTATATATGTATATATGTATATATGTATATATGTATATACATATAAATAGGTTTATATCAAAAGCTGTAAGAAAGCTCCATGTGAAGGTACATCTGGAGAAGATCTGCTACGCAGCGTGCAATCTGAACTGAACTGCAGCAAGCACTACTGCACAGTACTGGGTACCGGCCTAGAATCAGACGTGCATGTTGCACGTTCCGTACGAGACCTGGCTTCAAACTGAACTCTTCTTGGATCTAGGGCTGTTACAGTGTTTCCAAGCGCTACTTGGAGGATCAACAGGACTTGGTAGATGGCGCAATAAGTGGCTCGCCATACGGCTCTCTTTCCATACGCCATACTCCGACGAAGTTCTCAGGCCCTGACATACCCAAAACCCACAGGACTTGTACCAAAAACACTAGCAACTCTCTGCTCTCGCCAAGGTCTACATGCTAGGCCGGTGGGCCGAGCGAAGGGATGTTGAGTACGTCCCTGTTGTATACGATAGAATATGTAATATCGCATATACATACTATGCGCAACACGATAAGACACACCTATGTTTTCATATATGAATATGTTTATGTGTGTGTTTTGTATATGCTCATGTACATGTATGTATAGATGTATATGTATGTGTCTATGTATATGTTTATGTAGATGTATATGTATATGTATATGTGTATGTATATACAGCAGCAACACCCAACAACCACAAACATGAGAGTAATAGCAATAAGCCATGATGGTGATGATGATGATGATCAACTCATCGAGCCCCAAAAGGGCAGGCTCTTGAAGGCGCAAGTACCGCTTTGAATCCTGCACGAAGCCTACAGACCCCCAAGAGAATCTTGACCCAAACTCCAGGAAGCACACACCCCTAGAGTCCGACAGATCCGAAGATCAGCTCTCCAGTGCTTGGCAGGCAGCTGTTCTCGCACCATGGCCGGTGAGGAGTTCGGAACGAAGCACTTCATCCTTGGCGATGTGGCAGCAAAAACTGATAGGCACTAGGGGTTTTAGGTTTCGTTTTCTTCCCCTCAAAACCCCAAGCGTCTGCACGGCATCGTGTGGACTGGGTCGGAGTCGTTGGACGGGGTACCGGGGACGCTGGAAGGCACGGGGCGCTGCCGTGGACGGGGATGCTGGGAGGCTCTGCGTTAACGTCGAACTTGAACTTTCGCGGCGGGACGATGCTGATGGACGGGGATGGGGGCTGCATTCTGGGGAGGCTCTGGGTGCCGAACGTTCGCGACAGTGTTTTCAACCTGGTTGATCGAGGGTTTGAGAATCGCGGTGTGGGGTTTCGGTTCGTGCTGCGCAGTCCGAAGCGTTGCCAGACTCGGAAGTCCGAAACCTTACAGATTGGGATTGGGTTGTGAATCGAGCGATGCCTGTGAAGAAGCGGACACATTTGGCTGGCGCTGGATTGGCGCTTCTGTGTGTACCGGCTACCACCTCTTGGTCCTTCATTTACTTGCTAACAGCTCCTGATTGGAAAGAAAAAGTCTTGCGCCTTCGAGGTCTCGTACCTCCTCCGCGGCCAAGTCAAGAGCAATGGATGGCTTCTTGGTCGAAGGTAGCGATTCTGCGTGCGAAATGTTCCCGGAATTGGAAGAAGTCTCCGAAGCTGAGAGATGAAACGCTGCGGAATTTCTCCGCGGACATTCTGACAGACTTTGTTGCCTTGATTCCCCCTCTGGGTACGACCGCTGGACTTTTTCGATGGTTCCTGGAGGTTTTGGAGCTCTGGTGCTCGGATGCTCTCGGCGGCGACATTGTTCTCGAACTTGTGGGATCTCAAGTGCGTGGGACGTCTTGCTTGGATGGCTACGGTGATTTGGACTTTCAGGTCTCGAGGCGACCGGGCACGGCTCGAGCTTATGAGCCTTTCACGGAGACTGACAAGTTACGCGTCGCACAGAAGCTTGAGCAGCAGCCCTTCATCACAAACTTGACCATCGGGAGTATTGCTATCAAGTTTTCCTTGGATGCAGTAGTAGGTGTGATGAACGTCGATCTTGTTCTGTGGAGGGAGCGGCCAGAAGAGTTTCCCGCACTTCGCGGAGGGTCGAATTTCTACAGCAATTCAAAGAAGATCAATGCTTGCTTGGATGAATTCCCTGCTGCGAAAAATGCTCTAATTGCGATAAAGAGGTATTGCAAATATGACCGTCCCAAAGGGCTCCTCCTTGATGCCATTGCCTGGCGACTGTGGCCAAACGTAAAGGACCGCATGGACCGCGACACCTTGTTGAGAGTCCCTGAAGACTACACATGGCAAGTGCAAGCTACGGATGACGAGCAGCTTTTGCATCAACTCGCGAGATTCCAAGGTACGGATGAGGAGCTTGAGGAACAACTCGCGAGATTCACGACAGTGGTGTCGTTTCGTTTTTTTCAAATAATGCTTGACGAGCTCCGGAATTGGAAGAGCTCGCGTTATTTCGGACGCGAGCTGCAACAAGATTTGAGCAACCTTTCGGACAAGCAGAGGGACAAGTACACTTCAGGCTTCGAGAATATTGCCCGTATCACGAATACAGAACTGCAATTCCGACTGTTGTTGGGTGCCGCCGAAAGCAGGCTAGCGACAACCTCTTCACAGTCACACCGGTCTACACTCCCCGCCGCAGCAGAGGAAGCGCTTAAGCACTACTTCTCCGCAGTCTTGGATCAAGATGATTGACAGGAAGTGAAAATATGAAGGTCTGTGCATGGCTGCGTACTCTGCGACAGCTGCGGCGTCGCGTTGCAAAGATGGGAGTCGTGGGTGATTTACTCTTGGCTGCGTCAACCCATACACGCACCAGTCGATCACACCATCATCCTTCTCCTGACTGCATGAAAATGGTCAAGGGCACGAAGGGCGAGATGTCAGTCCCAGTCAACAGCGACCTGCTTGTGGGACCTCAAAGGGCTTGAAAAGGGCTGCGTCTGAACATCGCATTGAAGTCCACACCCCCAAAACCCAGTTATGTCGCATTGGTACCGCCTGCCATCAAAATCAACCTTTCTTCTCAATCATAATCTCAACCGAACGATAAGGAACAGACCACACCCCTAGACAGTTCATGTAGCATGTGGCAGTGAGGTGACTTCTTCGTGGTTGACACCGGTTCGAAGGCCTCCTGAGCAAGAATGTAACTAGGAGGGCGCCTTAGGTTGCTGTCCTTTGCTGATACTTTGTCTATACAAACACCTGCGTGCGCTTAAACTAGACATGCGTACAGTGCAGGCCGGCATATGAACAGAACTTATACACACACAACACACAGAGCTATGTGCGGATGTAAGTTCACATACACATGGTGTAATCTTTTTCTCTCTGTAAACAGACATGAATACGCACATACGGTTCGCAAATGTTCACTCTATGCAAGATACTTGGCAGTCTTGTGCATGTGTGACAGAGGTTAGTCACATGTGCTAGTTAGTCTTGCCGAACGTACATAGTACATAGGAGGGTGTGTGGAGGAGTTGATCGGAGGGGAGCAGCGGGGCGGAGTGAGCAACGCCTCGTGTCCCTGAACAACAAGTTCGGCCCGTCACAGCAAGATGCAGCATAGCCTCATTCAATACTCAGTAACCATTGCGGACATCAGCAGGCTACAATATCTCGAACATGCAGTAGAATGCAATATCACTCCATCATTGCACAGCATCATGTAGCCGTAAGTAAAGCACAGCATACTACCATGCCAAGCTTGCAAACCAAGCAGTCGTACAAAGCTTCGCTTTCTGCGGCATATAGCCGTCACGGTCTGCCCTACGTTTGCATTCGCAAGGTTTGAAGGTTGTGGGCTTGTTTGAATCTTGCTGTCTCCTTCTCCGACCATGCCAGGTTCGCTTCGACGAGAACTTGAACCTGAAGGAAGATTATGTCCTTTGCTGAAGAATGGGCTGAATTGGCATCAGTGGTGGACTAGGGTCTAACATTTCGGAGTCTGGGTTTGGGCTTGGGCCCACTGAGTTTTACAGGCTTGGCCAACCTTGGGTTTGGCCGTAGCGCCCTGGTCCCCTCTATCATGTGATCCTCCTGTTATCTTGGGCATTCTCCGGTGTCCTCCTGATTCTCTGATCCTCTGGTCATGCTTGTCCTCCTGCGGCTTGGCACTCCTGAACAGGCTTCGTTTTGCCTCAAGCTTTTCGGGAACTCCGATTTCAAGCTGCTGGGGAATTACAGTTTGCAGTGCATGCCCTCAGCCAAGTCTTTCGAAAAGGCCTTTGGCCAACCCGTGTTCAGCAAAAACAAGCCCTCCAACGCTTCGCCTGGCCAAACCTTGGTAGCCTTAGCGGTTTACGATGTAGGATTGCCCAGCACCTGCAAAGACTTTTGCAACCTTTTCTACAACCCCTGTATTTGGCAATTTGGCATAGTAGCAACCTTATGAATTGTTCAAATTTAAAACAATTCACGACGAGCTTCAACAGGTGGAGTCGGCAACAAAAAGTAAGCGCACCAAGGACTTCACTTGCTCACACATCCGAGCTCACGGGGGCGCGTCGGCCCCAAGGGGCCCTCGAGAGCGTGCGGAGCGTTTGGGATTTAGAGGTACAGGTTAAGGTCTTTAGGGTTTATGGTTTAGGATGCCAAAGGTTTGAGTCAGTGCCCAGTATTATCGGGATTTAGAGGTTTAGGGTTCAGGATTTATATGATTGTTGTCGTGTGGTGTGGGTTGAGTTGGGCAAAGTTTAGGGTTTGATTTATTGAAGCTTTCAATTGACTCGTGACTCGAGGTCATGCGCTGCAACCGCATGACCCTGACGGTCAAGCACTACTCGAACAGTGGCGGTGCGTGCTCGAACCGGGACAAGAAGGGCAAGGAGGAGCGGGTGGCTTCTGCGGAATACCTGCTTTCGAAGGCAATGTCGGCCGCTGCAGGAGCAGCGCAACATCGGCATACTTATGGACAAATGGCCTTGCACCCGGGTGCTGCAGCTGTGACGCCGCAGGACTAGCAGAACATGTTCGACTGCTCTGAGGCCGCGGGCCCTACGATTCAACCCCAAGCGCACCAACGAGGCCCATCGCTCTTGAATGCTAGCAGCACGTGGCGGTGAGAGGTCAGCCAAAGGAACTCGTTTTGTGCTTGGTTTCTTGTGTCATGAATTCCGTAGTACTTAGCGCCCCGGCAGCACAAGGTTATAATGAGCTGGCCGGCAGATGATGATGCCGAAGGCAAGCACCATGAAAAGAGGCCCGCCTCTTACTTACTGAATTCATCGCAGAAGAATTCACAGAGGGCATGGGGAGCCGTGATTGAGGCTTTTTGTGAACAATGCCGTTCGAAACCTCTATGTCTGCTGTACACTTTATGGTGTATTCCTTGCTTGAGAGAAGCTTCTCGAGATCATAGAAAAAGAAGCCATGCAAACATTCAGGCCAAGGTCCTAATGTGCATTCATGTACTCTTTCCTTTGTTGTTTATAGTTATGTGTATTTCCTCAATATCGGGGTGGGCTCCCTGGGTGATATCGAGACAGCGCTTGAGACCCGGTTGCAGGAAGCCGAGCCAAAGGCCAGGCGCGGGCAAGCCGGGCAAGACCAAGGCCGGGGGGTGCTTCTGCCGTGTGCAGACCTCGAGGTCCAGGTACTGTAGCCAAAGAACGAGAACAACACTTGGAACAAAGCCAAATCGAGTAGATGGACAGATAATTAGATAGATAGGTGGTAGGAGGTAGGTAGGTAGGTAGGTAGATAGACGAATGCGTGTATGCATGTAATCGCTTGTAAGTGAGTCAGCAAGTAAGCAGGCAAGCACGCATGCATGCATGCATGCATGCATGCATGCTATGCACGTACGTATGCATGTACGTATGTGTCAATGTATGTACGTACGACGTATGTATGTATTGCATGTACGTATGTATGTGAGTATGTGTGTGTGTGTGTATGTGTATGTGTGTATGTTGCCTGCCCTACCATGCACACATGCAAGCGCACACGTGCATGCATACATGCATTTCCAGTTGTTCAGGCTGTGGCGAAGAAGACGAAGGTGGCGCGGCCGAAGGCACGACAAGAACTTCTGACTCCACATTTACACAAGTCCGATTGGTAGACTCAACAAGTCACATTGCAGCCATTCTATATCGCGATACCTACTCCGAAGGGTTTTCGAAGATTCAACTAGCAGCAGCAGCAGCAGCAGCAGCAGCAGCAGCAGCAGCAGCAGCAGCAGCAGCAGTAGCAGTATCAGTAGCAAGAGCAACGCCAACAACGACGACAACGTCATACAACGTCCGAAGGAGCGTTCTCTCAGCATCGGCCCACAAAAGCGATCGGGCCTGGCACCATCAGCCATCTGCAACGTAGACAGGGGTTAATAGGTGCGTTGAGGTCCTTTGACTGAACATGCAGCTCCGAAGCCTTCTAGACGCCTGCTTTCTAAACAAACTAACGCCTGAAGATCCAGGCCTTACTTACTTGCAAAGCAGAGCCCTGGAAGCTTGAGAGGCGCATCATCCGAGCAATGCCGTCATCCTGCAGACAGAAAAGAGCAAGGAGGAGCGGGCGCTGAGCGTGTTCAGATTTTCCAACTTTGCACAGGCTTTGAAATACAGGCTGTGAGGCTGTTCAGGGAGTTTTTTGGGGTCTGAATGGCTGCCCTGCGAGGCGAACAACGCACGAATTACGCCCTATGTCGCCAGACGTTGTGGGCGAGCACCGTGGCCGCAGCACTGCAACACTTGTGCGAATTTCGGGCGAACTGCAGGACGGAGTACAACGAAAGATATAGGTTTGAGGCAAGTTCAGGTTTTAGGATCAGTAACTATACCCTCCCCAAACCCCGCCCATTCGGCCAAAAGGACAGGAACAAAACCCGAAACCCTCTTCTGCTTGATCAGGTCAGTGGCAAGAGGGTCAGCGAGGCGAAGCAGCCCCACCTAGCACTGGGGACAGGGCACAGAGACTGAATGTAATAATATTGAAATATCTTGTAATATCTAATATACTGTTGTATTGTAGGTACTACATAACCATTACTGTAGTATGATATAACATATCATAGCACAACCGTGTCATTATCAAGACTGCACCTGACATCTTGGCAATTGTTAGTTCGAAGTGATGTCTGGAGCTTCGCTTCTTGCAGGTCCTCGGCCGGCTCAAGTACACCACAGCAGAAGGAGAGACTCGAACGTGACCCGTCTCCTATCCACTTCATGCTGGGAAGTGCGGCGGAACCCGGTCGAGAAGAAATCTGCAGCCCTTAAAACCCACAGATTCGACGTCCCTCCGCAGGTACGTGACGAGCGATCTGAGCTACGATCTGCAGCGGGGCTTTGTGAAGCTTAAGGCCTGGAGGAGGCATTTTTCAAGGATGTGGTGGTGCCATTTCCGACCGTTTAGTTTAAACATTTAGGGTTTAGGGTTTAGGAAACGGCTGCTTCACTGCTTCACGGCTGTCTTGTGCAATTTTCGATACTTTTCTGCCCTGCGCAGGCTTCGAAATCTGGCTGAGACGTGGTCCTCCATGGACGTGACCGGGTGCTTGTGCAAAGTTGGCCTTTGCAATAGTATGGTGCTCGAGCATGTTCCCGTATGACATCATATGACAATACAGCGACAACCCTGACCTATGCACGCTGCTTCGCAGTGATTGGTTTTAGTTTTGGGGGAGTCCATGCCAGGGCTCTGATTGCACGCGCCCACAATGCGCTAAGATGATGTCCGAACAGCAACGAAAGGCTTCTAACGTCAGGCCAAGCTTCTCAAAGCACCAAGCTCTAATTGTGTTTGTGTGTGTGTGTTACAGTTGCGCCTCCGCAGTGCAATCGATGGCATGGCATGGCATGGCGGCGTGAGCCACAGCAGTAATCCCGCTGCTACAGCGGGCCTCCGATTACTTAGAGCCTAGATCCCACGGGCGGTTGCTGCAAGAATTGCAGCTCACGTAGCACAGAGCGTTGACCTTATATGGATCAAAGTCAAAGCTCCTCCAAGCGCAACAAATGTAGATCAACCTGTGGGGTATGCCCTGGGATTCGAACATCAACCCGACGGAAGTGTGCCTTCAACGTTAAAAGAGCGTGTCCAGCTCTCCAGCTGCAGATGCCTGGTTTATGGACTTGTTTCAGCGGACTCAGCCGATTGTTGCATTGCAGGGTGGTGTACAGTGTGCAGTAGTCTGAACGTGTCATGGGGTTGCATACGCCAACCCGAAGACGCAACGGCCACCTGCCCTTGCAAGTCTTCATGTTACGGTAAGGGATTTGCAGGGTTGGTTGTGTCCTCAATTCATATCACTTGGAGCTCTAAACCTCTAGAGATCCTAAGCACCCCTAGCCGCTTGCAGGCAGAGCCTGGATGTCCGCGCTCTCTCTGCAGGCGCCGGCTTCCCAACCCACAGACTCGTGCGTTGGTCGTTCTGTGCAGTTAAGTGGACTTCCTGATTGTCTCTCGGAGTTCCGAAACAGCTAAGCATTGCCTCCCGTGTTCAAGGCCTTGGAGCATGTGCTGCTGGAGCCAGATGGCAGGCCTCCGACTCGGTAGGTATGGTGGTTGCGACCAGCCTTGCCAGGAAGTTTTTTGCCAAAATGGGGGTACACGAAGGATTCAGGGCCTTGGGCTTAGGCGGCTCTTGCCAGGAACGCTGACGCACTACCACCCCGCCCGCCCCCGTTGCATTCTGAGCAGGAGACTCTGTGCATCTTGAGCTTTTTGAAGGACACTGGCCTGGGTCTGCCGGGTGCTCGGTGTTGCTACATTATCCTGGTGGCTTCACAACCTCGCGATAAGAATCGCATACCGCTTAAGCCCTGAACCCTAACACCTAAACCCGAAAGCCTCTTAATGCAATGTAGTTGGGAGTTTCTGGAGAGCGTCTACAGCCAGTCTAACAACCCAAAGTCTGTTAGGCCAAACGAAGTCGGATGCAGTGCAGCCATTGCAGCACTCGTCCGTGCGGATCGCTGGCAGCAGGCCTTTTGAGAAAGTCTTGCTCGGGTTCCCGAGCATGCAGAACCCTAGTATGACGATATGTGATGCCAAAGAGTTTTGGGCGAAGCATCAATCCTTGTCACCCGACAGCAGTCAGTGCTGAGAGCTCTGGACTTGCTGTACTCAGACGACATCCGTGGAAGCAGTCGGTGAACTCAGACAAATGGTTCACAGATAGAGCATCACCACTTCGAGTAGCAGATTGCGCTTGGCACGGATCCTGGGGCAATATCGGTTCAGAGTTGTGCATATTCAAAGCAAAATCATGTCCACAGGTGCTAAAGCTGGAGCATCGCAACGACATCGTTCTGAGGGTCTCCTGAATTAGTGAAAACTTCTTCCGAGCGGTGTTTCCGTTCAGTCTTGAACCATCGAAAAATGCAGTAATCATTATGGATTGCACTATAATTATTGTTCTTATTGTTATGTGCAGGCCCTCTTCTTGTATGGCATCTTCGAGTCAGAGCTGGAGGCCTCGAGCTTCGACCCAGCTTGTCTGACCGCCTCCTTCGGGGCCCTGAGTGTGTCGTCAGTTCCAGGCTTCTGCCGTAGATTCTCAGATTCTCTGGCCTTGCTCCTGTTGCGGACTTTTTTGTGGCAGCTTCGCTTTGCTCGTGCAGTCCGCTGACCCCGTCTCCATGGGGGCAGCCATCAATGCCTGCGCCGAAGGACCGGCGCATGGAGGCATCCGACGGCTTCACAGTATTTTAGCCATGCCGCTGCAGGATCTCACTGGGAACGGGCGATCTCTTTGCTGGACCAAATTCTCGACTTGCATGCTCTGAAACAGGACCGGCACCGTTTTGGTCGGAGTCCCGAAGCAGTTACAGTGTATGATGCCCCACATAACTTTGCTAGTTATTGAGGCCCCCATATTGGCGGGGTACACCTGGCTTTAAGTTCATGCTGTTTCTGCAGGCAATAAACGAAGCGTAGAAGCATGACATTGATTTCATCCATCAGACGGGGGGATGTTGTGTGATTTGTGTCTGGGCATCTCGGGGACACGCAAGTGCATGTTAAGTGATTGCACATCGTCCTGCAGGAACGAGAGGTGCATTCTGCTCGCACAGTGCAGGTTTGCAACCTGGTTGCATAAGCTGGCGTACTCAACTAGCGGGATGGGCCTCGATTGCCATTCCAGTTGAGGACAGTGTTTCTGGATGACTGTCTGTAAAAGCCCCCGCCCATTGGAAGCCTGGCGCTTCAGCCAGTTTTGTAAGCCAACCCTAAACCCATCAACACGAACCCCCACTTACAGTAGACTTGAGACCCAAGATATGCACACGACTCGTGCGAACCGCTCCTCCTCAGTTAAATGAACTGCCACGATGTCAAGGTCGCAATGCCGCAATCACAGCGACCGGGCGTGCCTCTCGCCACTCGGATGAGCAAGCAAGGCAGCAGATGTCTGACCCAAGCAGTACCATTACTGCTAAGGTTTAATGTTGCAGCAGCATGCGGCAGGTCTTCTTGTCTAGATGAGATTATTTTAGATCACCAGTCTGAACATCTGCTGCTGGTATCGTTATCGTTTCTGTTTTGATAAGGTATGCTTGCTATACCCAACTCTATCGGGCAGTTGATAGTGCAACAGATCGTAGTCACCAGTTGCTTATAATTTCTTTGTCCGTTGTTGATCTCTTTGTCAAACTTGCAGTAAGCTTTGCCATTGGCATGTATATCCGTATTGTACATGGGGAGGACTGGAGTTTGGACCCAGTGGACCATTCCTGTACTGAGACGCCTTGCTGAGTAGGGGAGTGCCCAGAACCTCAAACTACGTGGCCTGAAGAGCGGGGTATATGTGTGACGCCGTTTCAAAAACTAGACTACGGTTTTCTGTTCCGGAGGAGAAGCAGGAGCATCTTTCTAGCTACGATTCTGCGGGGGCAGGGGAGCTTGTAATGCGCTTGCGAGTGGATCAAACTTTCGTCCTGCCGCAGCAGTAGTACAGATTCAATCCGAAGAAGCACCAGTCTGCGGATCCTAGACCCCTGATTGTAGGGATCGTTCAGAACCCACGCAGAGTCTTACTGAACCCTTATAGACCGTGCAAGCCGTAATCCAATGACCCGAAACCCCAAGATCCCAGCAAAACACCTGACATACCCCAAACTCTAAACCCTAAGCCACAAAATCCCTAAAACCTAGCAGAACTCAAGAAACCTGGATGGACCCCGGCCCCCCTCTAGACACACTGAGTAGGAATTGAAAAAGCATCTCCAGAAAGCCCTATACAAAAAGTCTGCTGTGTAAACCCCTAGACCTAAACCCTAAAGCCTAAACCCCAAAACCCTAAACCCCTACAGCCTAAACCCCAAAACCCTAAACCCTAAACCCCTAAACCCTAAACCCCAAAACCCTAAACCCCAAACCGCAAACCCCTTAACCTTAAAGGCCCTAGAGAGCAGGATGGGCCTGGGCCCTCCACATGTTCCTCACGCTGGGTCGCGCAGATGACGTTGGCTGCAGCTCCTCGCTCCACTTCGGGTTTTGGGGTTTAGGGTTTAGGGTTTAGGGTTCAGGGTTTAGGGTTTGTTAGAGTTTAGGGTTTAGGGTTTAGGGTTCAGGGTTCAGGGTTTAGGGTTGAGGGTTTAGGGTTCAGGGTTGAGGGTTGAGGGTTTAATTAGGGTTTATAAGAGTTTAGGCTTTACAAAATCTCATATTTCTTTGGGTGGGTTGTATGAGGGGCCCTGTTGGGTTTTAGTAATTAGGGGGGTTATGATAGGGGGTATCTTCAGGGTTCACTAGAGTATCAACAGCGTAAGTCTAAGGTTACTATATGTAAAGGATTATGCCTTTGGGATTTTCTGATCCCGGGGAGGCCTCAAGGGTTAGGGGCTGTAGGGGAAATTAGGGTAGGGGAGTGTTCAATTGTAGCCCCAACAACCTAATTTTCTGTGCTTCCTCATGCTATGATGCTAGAACTCCAATGTAGCACCGTGAAGCAGTTCGTATAGGTAGGCCAGCTTGAGAACTGGTCGTCCTCATAGCTCCTACATTGCTCCGGGACCAGTTGCAGTAGATTGATCGGATGCTGATATTAAGTTTTCTTAACTAGGGTACCATCTTTAGAGGTCCGTAGTGTAGGATCTCCCAGATACTTGTGACTCCCGCAGCTTCCATCCACGTGTTTGTGTGTGGAATCAACACCACTATGTCGAATCCTTTGCCCGTCCTCACCAAGGCCCTATATACATACATACATACATACATACATACATACATACATACATACATACATACATACATACATACATACATATATATATATATATATATATCCGACCTGTCAGTATTTTATGTTAGCTCGGGTTTAGGCTTGATTGGACTCTTCTTCTGCGGATCTGTGCGGTGCTTTGCTGACTGGATCGCTTCGTTCGCCAAGGTGCCGTAGTCAATGCCTGTCAGCGAGCCACACAATGGGAACAGGACTGGCTCGGAAAGCGCCGCAGGGTTTAAGTTTAGGGTGAGATTCTCCTGACTGACTGACTGACTGCTGAGCCCCGCGAGGCTTTGCACCTTCTTCGCTTTGCACCGAAAGGCGACGCCGAGGGTTTCATGCTCAGCCGCCTCCGCATCCGGTTGCTGTGCCAGGTCGTGATGAGGGAGCCGTCACAGCAGCGGCCTTATCCAGAGAAAAGACTGGGCTCTATCTACTCGTACCACTCCTCCAACGACGAGCCTAGATACTAGCATCCTTCAGGAAGGACCCCTAACGGGGGTCCCGCTACTTTGCCGAAACTCCCAAGTGAGTCTCCAGACTGAACAGCTCGTCTTCGCGGCCTCCCTCTAGGCCGCAATCGCTGCCTGCGAGCGGGCATCGTGCCGGGCTCAAAGCAGTGAATCATAAGTACATAAAATCATAATTAATCATATATAGAGGTAGATGTATCTGCAGAGAGTATAAGATTTCCAAAACCTCCGCTGCATGCACCCCGAGACTGCTCCGAAATGTGATGCTCCGTCCCCGTCCAACAACTCCAGCCTGTTTCTGTCCTTCCAGGTCCCACCGGCAACCCACTCGTCCTTGACAGCAACCGCAGCCCTGAGCTCCAGGCGTTGGACGGCTGCTCTGAGCCTGCTGCGGCGTGGAGGAAGCGCCGACCTCGGCAGTCCTTTTGCACTTGTTTCCGCGACTGGGGATCTGGCAGATTCGTGTAGTTTGACAGCCATGTCAGGCCTGCCATCTTGGAATACCGCAGGATGCTTAGACAGAGGCAGTTTTCGTGCTGTTGCCCATTATTTCCCGGTCGTGGTACCTGTAGTATCAATTCAATATTAAACTCTTTCTGAGATTGATCCCCAGTTTAGAACCACTCCCTTTGATGTCCGCTCTACGTCAGGCCATGAGCGCCTGTGAGAAAGCCGGCTTATGGCAGGAGCGCAGGGTCGGGACGTGTTGGCGACCCGGGGACTCGAATAGCACCCAGTTGCGGCACACTGACATGCTCCACCCTAGACAATGGCACGAGAATCCGAATCCCGAATTGAGAAGATATGTACCCCACACATGCTTTGAAGTTCTCTAAACCTTTCAAGCTCCCAAACCTAAACCCTGAACTCAAAACCCAAAAGATCCTTCGGCAGCTCGCCCTGGTTCTCTTCTTGCAGCTGCCTGACTTCCGTCTCTCCCCAAGCGGAGTGCCGGCCCCTCAGCTCGGAGCTTCAAAGGGTAAATTCAAGAGAAAGCCCTGTATGCAAGAGTGTGCTGTTGTGGGGAGCTTTGATACTCCCAAACCGGCAAAACCCCAAGACCGGATGTAAATCCTGAAGCACAAATGCGAACCCCTACATCCTAACATCAAAATGGGGATGCTATTTGAGGGCCTTGGGCTTTTGTGGGTTTCGAAACCTATCATCCCCCTTCGCAACTCAAGGTGCAAAAGGGGGCTTAGGGCCAGGGTGTAGGGCTTCGGGAAGCCAGCTGCAGGACGTTGATAAGTATTGCATGGGTTCGACTGTCTCAGGTTGCATGTGCAATGTTTAGGGTTTAGGGTTTAGGGCAGAGTTGTTCCCATGCCGGGGTGTTGTGCAAGGTTTGCCGCCCTGGGCATGCTACCCGAGGTCGTACAACACTGCCATCTGCGCCTGTGAAAGGCAGGTGCTTCCGTGAGTCAGCAGTCAGCGGTCGGCACAGAGCCAGCATTTATCATTTTCAGCAGCTTCCTTCTAAGGAAGCTGCAATGCTTCTTGGTGCTGCTCATGTCGTTCATGTCAGACAACTGTGGCTGCAGCGAACCTGAGCACGTTTGTTCAGGGAAGGCCTTTGGCAAGACGCTCTCTTCCTACTGTCTCAACGACGAGAGCTTGAGGAGGACTGTCGATGCATGTGCCGAGTGCTGCACTCTGTGACCAACTCTTCGTGACTATTGTGAACCTTGCAGGCTGACAACATCGCTGTGGGATCAGCAGTAAGTGCCTGTGCCAAGGCGCAACAGTCGCGAATCTGCAGAATGCACAGCTTGTGCTTGCTAGGCCTACAAAGCGTGGTGCCTTCGGAGACACTTAGGGAATCCTGCTTTGACTTTTGGGGTCGATTTGGCGCTCGGTTCTGCCGTCCAGCAGATTCCCTCACATCACAGGCCGCTCAGTGGGAACGGGCTGTGGCAATGGTCGTTGCCCCAGTCTACTGCACCAAAGCCGTGTCAGGAGCTCTGCTTTGCCTTGGATTACCCTTTGCCTTCGCTAAACTCCGAAACGCCCCGAAGCCCTAAGGCCTAAACCCTTTGCCTCTCCCGAAACCCAGGTTCTGAAGCCATGGGACCTTGCAGTCCTTTGGTCCGCCCCTCAAGCCAAAAAAGGCTCCTTCCTTACTTGGACTGTTTTGCCAAAGCAGGAGTGGTCTGGTGGACTCCAGGTGCTACTCGGCCCGGGCCTCAGCAAGCTTTGCAATCCATTCATAAAGCTTCAAAGCAGAGCCGACAACCCCAAAGCCTGCAGCCCGAAGCCTGGGCCCTAGAATCCCTGAAGCCTCAAGACACAGACCTCCGACCCGGAAAGCACCCCAGAAATCCCCTTCCGCTCAGACCCGGAAATTGCTCTCCCCGCACTTGGGTAAGGCCGCTCTTCTCTCCTGTCAGAAGGTCTCCAAGCCTCCTGGTTGCAGCTATGAGACCCGTGGGCTCGCAAAGGGCTCTCAGAAAGTTTTCATCATGGCTTTGCAGGGTCTTTAACGGTGTGTTGCTTGTGATGACTTCTAAACTAAAGTGAGGAGTTTGGGTTCCCTGCTGGGGGGTTCCTTGCAACAGGGATCTTCAGCTACATACAACTCAGGGCGTGGATCGGGGTCCCCTAATCTGTCTGAAGCTCACTGAGAGCCCAATGCCCCATGTTTGAGCAGACTTCCTTTGATCACAATCAGAAGCCCTCTGCTTGAGGCATAATGTAGAAGCCTGCATCATACTTGCCAGTACTATTCCTTAAGGTTCCTCATCATAGTCATACGCAGAACCAAAGCATTATTCTTTCACCGAAGGTCCCGGTATGATCAAGGCGTAGGTTGTGCTCTCCGGGCTCTTCTTGCTGGTATGTAAGCTTGTGGCTGTAGCTGGTCCATAGTTTCGTGGTCGATCACCTCGAAGCCTCAACTCCAAGCCCTGCCTCTAAGCCACAAGACCTATTTTCTAAGGGACTAGACTTAGAGAGCGGTTTCAGAATGAGGAACCCAAGAATGTGGTGCTTTGGATCCCTCGACCCTAAACCCTACAAGGTGGCTCCAAGCTCTGGACCTCTTCAGGGGCTGGGCCCCGGCACGGGACCTCAGAATGATGCGTGGCGTAAGTGTCATTGCCTACAAAACCCTGCGCCCAAAGTCGTGAAAACCCCCATGCCCTGTCTGCTATATGCTTCTCTCTCCTAGTCCTAGACAACCCTGGTTGCATAGCCCTAAACCCTACAAGCACATGTTTTTCGCTCGCGTTCTCTCCCTCCCTTTCTTTTCTTCTGTCCCTCTCTCTCTCTCTCTTTTTCGCTGTATATATATACATATGTATATATATATATATATAAATATGTATATATAGCTATCTACTGATTCATATCACTTCATGTCCAGACCTAAACCCAGCCGTGACCCAACCACGCTTATGAAGGCCCAGGCGGCAGAGGCCGCCTCGGACCTGGACCGACCTTTAGAGCCGGCCCGGACCCCGGAGCCCTGGGCTTCTTTGGAGTGGCGAGGGCTTTGGGGCTCAGGGTTTCTAGGCGTTTTGGGTTTCGGGGTGTAGGGTCTCTAGGCGTTTTAGGGTTTAGGGTTTCTAGGCATTTTGGGTTTAGGGGTTTAGGGTTTAGGGTTTCTAGGCGTNNGGGGGGGGGGGGGGGGGGTAGGTAGGGTCACAGGTTTTGTTGCTTAAGCGTTCCAGGCTTTTCGGAGGGTTAGTGGTCAGTGTTCTAGGGCTGTGGGGGCTTCAGTGTTAGGGTTTCAGGGTTAAGACGTAGACTGCAGACCCCGGTTGAAGCCTCACTGCATCGATCCGAGTACAAGAGCTGTTCAACAGGTTTCTTGATCAGGCTTCTGCTCTACCCTAAGCTCTAAACACCCTTTAGAGTCGCGGCCAGAGTCCGTGGCTTTCGTGGCAAGTTGCAGAGCTGAGCGGGGCCCCTGCGTCAGGCGGACTATGCTTTTGCTGCTGCTGCCTGTGATGAAGCGCTTCGTGCCGGCCCTGCGTGGCTCGAATGATTGCAGGTTTTACTTTTCGGAGATCAAAGCCGGTGGTGCTGTGGGGTGATTCGTTGCAGATGGGGGTGTGCAGATGCTGGAAGCACAGGTTTGAGCTGCGGCATGTGGCTTGCAAGAGCCATTGAGTAAGATCGACTCACAGTCGTTCTGGGATGGTGGACAGGCTGAAAGGTCCTTGTGTGAGGACAGGATCTTCAGAATGCCTTTCAAGGTAGGCATGCCCGCAGAACTCTTAACAGCGCAGCGTTTGGGCCTGTTGGGTTTCGGGGCAGGGAGTTAATTTAGGGTTTAGGGTTTAAACCCTACCCCCTAAACCCGGTCTCACAGCGGTGGGGGCCGCTGCATCTCGGCTTCGAGTTGAGAGGATGGGAAGCGGCGCCTCGAACGAGAAGGTCCAAAAAACTCCCGAGAAAAGGGAGGGATTGAGGCATGGCGATGGTGGGAGTCAGACTTCGAATGTTCCTGTCTTGTCAGAGTACTTCCAGAAGGAGTATCTGAAAGGCAAGATCTTTGAGAATGGCTCCAAGTATCAAGCCGGGATGTACGAGGAGGCTAGCACGGAAGTGATCGAACACAAAGACACCGGAATCTGTAGCTGGGCAGATTTGGTCGACCTTACGTCCTATGGGCACAAAGGCGAGGCTACCAGAGTCTTGTACCATTACACGGACCCGCTGTGTTTCGCAAACGTAACCGATAGTAGGAAGTCCACGGTGGAGGTGTACGCATCGTTGAAGGACAGTCGTGCACATTTCGGCTTGGGTTTATATGCGACGCAGTTCGAGCCAGAGGCTTTCGGTAGTCAACTGAGAGTTCTGCTCAACAACTATGGCGGCTCTGAAACAGATCCCTGGTCAGATAGTCCTTCGCCAAAGGGTGTTGTGGAGCAGGTGCAGAAGGACTGGGGGCGACGTGCTGATTTTTGCCTGCCCTTGCTCGTCCCCGAGAGCTTAGCATACGACATTCACCGTCGGCAGCCGCCGGATTTGTCGACCAAAGGAGTAGGTCTCGGATGCGATTACAAGAACCGTCAGCAGCACCCGAAGCGAGATGTTTGGGTCGTGCGGCTTGAGGGACAGGACGGCAGAGTCCAAAACGTCCAAGTTCAATCAGACCTCCGTATCTCCGTCTTCCAACGTCGCGTGGATCATCTGGTGGAGACGCGTGGTGCAACATCTCAGGCTGCCTTGGCTGCCTCTTCCCTCTTGGGCCGCCTTTATCAGGCTACTGGGAATCTGGAATATGCCAAGTCTCACTTGAAAGAAGCGGCGATGGGTCTTCGAACTGCTTGTGGCCCTCTGCACCCAGAAACCTTGCGAGCTGTCAGCCACATGGCATCCCTCATGGTTGACTATGGTTATCGTGAAGAGGCCAGACGTGTTAGCAAGGCAGTACTCTACGGAACAGCCCAGGCGCTGGGTGTGTTGCATTCAGATACACTGCGTTCTGCGAATGCTTTAGCCGGACTCTTGAAACCAGAGGCAGCGGTTCGTCTCCACAGAATCGTATTGGCTCTTCGCCTGGACATGTACGGCCATACGCATCTCACCAGAGTTAGTATGAACAACTTGGCCATGGCACTGTCTATTCACGGAGAGCACAGTGAAGCTGAGTCCTTGCAGCGTGACGTTGTGTCCATGCTCGAACAAGCATGGGGTCTGTCGCACCCAGATACTCTCATGGCACGCTCGAATTTGGCAGTGGTGCTCATGCAGTGTGACAAGTTGAGTGAAGCCGAAAATCTTTCGAAGGAGGTACTAAGCACCCAGACCACACTGCTAGGTGAGAATCACCCGCAGACGATGAGCACGAGAATGGATCTTGGAGAAATTCTGATGCGCAAGGGGCAGCTGGAAGAGGCAGAGAAGCTCTTCAGCCAAGTGTATCGTGGGCGATCCAAGGCCCTCTCTCTAGGCAACGACCATCCGGAGACGCTTCGGGCTGCGCAGGCATGGGGAAAATGTGCCAGGGCGATGGGCAAAGACGGAAAGGCACGGGAAATGGCACGTGTTGTTGAGGACATCTTGGACGAAGGACGTCGAGAAGAAGATGAGTTTCAGTTTCAGAAGTTTCGCCGCATCTTTTGCAAAGACTACCGCGATTATAAGGACAGCTTCAGAAACTCGAGCAAAGCACGGATGGAGGATGCGTCACCTGCTCTGAGCATGCCCGACTTCTCATCTTCAGAGTCTTCACTGGAGCAGGACAAGAAGGGCGTTCAGTTGCACCCTTGCAGTTCACCCCGGGGGTTTAGGGCTTTGGGTTTGTCGACCCCAGGACTGCGGCAGCTCGGACGAGTCCTTGGGCCTCGGGATGCGGAGCGAGCGGAAGGAGGGGAGCGAGGGGAGCGACAGCAGCGAGCCGGAGGAAGCCTTCTCACCCGAGATCTCCTCCGAAGGCTCAGGCTCATCGGGTTTCAGAGGTTTTCTAGCCTGTAGGGCTTTAACCGCCCCAAGCTCTAGGACCTGACCTGAAGAATTAAGTAGCAGGATGATCCGTCTTGGGACCATGTCTTTAGACCTCACGTCGTAGAACCCACGTCAAGAGAGTACCTTCTCTGTAGGCTGTAGACCTCAGAGAGTAGGATCCTTGTTCTACTGACCCCCCAAAACAGGCTGGTCCGCTTCGAAGCCTCCTGACGATAAACTGGGCTCGAAAGACGTTCCTGACATGACTGCCTAGGCCTGGTGATGAGAAAAACAGCGCACAGGGGCCGTCTTAGTCTTTTGGGCCCTTCATCTAATTTTATAAAATACCCCAAAGCCCCACTGAGAATGGTCAAGGCCCCTCTACTATCAGCAACTCGCATGGGCCGTTGCATAATTAGATGCGATGAGGCATCCGAGTCCCGCTTGGATGGAGCGAGAAGTGCTAGACAAGGTCATATTCACAGATACCCATCAATTAAAGAATACACCTTGGATTATGCCCGAAGGCCCCTTTCAGTTGCATGATGCGCGTTAATGAAAAGCTATCTTTAGACCTTTCTGGCTAGGCTCGAGATCGTGTGCAGGGACGGTGGCTTTGGGCTGCTTTTAAGGTTTAGGGCTGCGGGTTTAGGGGGAGATTCGCCTTTGAAGGCAGCCTACTCATTACTCTAATTACCAAGGCCTCTACATCAACCGGACCTCAAAGAAACGCAACTCATGCCACACTGCTCGGATGTCCGTTTTACTAGGAGGGCTTCAGTAAGGATCCTACCGACAACATCTACATCCGAGGTTGGAGATACGGCATGCGCTGAGCCAGAGCCATGTACTGCGGAGGTCAACTGCTGCACTGGATGCTGTCATTGTGGGACCCTCAGCTCGCTTGCAAACAGGTTGAGCTTGGCAGGAAAATGGTAGTGGCATAGAGCATGCAAGTGCTTGAAGGGCTTGACAGGTTGCTCATTAAGTACGGTTGAAAATCGGAACAGAGTCAATAAAGCCTCGGTCTACCCTATGTGCCCGAAAACTCTACTGCATCCGAAACTCGAATCCCTTTGCCGTCACAGGCGATGGATACAATGGCGGCTTGCGACTCCTCTAGCAAGCTTCTGGGAGGCAACAGCACTTTCGGCGTATTTAGGGTTCAGGACGTCTTTTGTGGCAACACTGCTGCAGCTATTCGCAGGTAGCCAAAGGGGTCGAGACTTGAGGCATAGCCTTCTTGGAGCATTCATAATGACTAAAATCGATGTAGATATACATCTATATTTACACAGAGTATACAACATCTCAGCCATAATATATCAAAATAGAATACACGCTACAAGACCATGTTTGTCTTGATCCGCTCACATTCCAGATGAGTTGACAGGTTTGGCACTTTGTGCGAACTGTGATTTACATATACGTGGATGTGTGAAGCACCCACTGTTCAGACAAGGCTACCCAGCTGGCCACAAAACGAGACAACATGCTGGACGGCGATCTAACTTTCCACGGTAACGTGCAGCTACGTGACATGCCAGTCCAATCTCTTTTCACGGGCCTCGCAGTTACTGGCTCGAGAGGAGGCAGCATGTCTCTCGAGGCTTGTAGGTGTTCCTTTGTTGAAGGCTGGCGAGCTTGCAACCATGCTTGCACGCCCGTCAGCCCGGGAAGTCATGGGTCTCTGCTTGATCTTGTTGATGGCTTCCGCCCTCACCTGTGGCAACTTCTTGAACCATCGCCATCGGGCCATTGCAGTGAAGCGTGAGAGTCACTCAAGGCCGGAAGGTGTGCCTAAGTCGAGGCGCGAGCGGATGCTGCAGAGGCCCCGGGACACGTTCATGGGCCGTACTGGCCGGAAAAAGCAAGACCGGGACCTGTATTTTGGCAACTGGCCTTTAGATCCCTCTGCCCATTCCCAGGCCCGCAGTGGACGAAATCCTAAGTTTGGGTATTTGAGGGCCAAGCTGAAGGAATCGCGATCAGCGAAGAGTTTACTCCAGTGTTTGCATGCGGCAATCCGAAAAGGGGAAGTGGATGCTAGTGTGATAGGCTGCGCTATGCAGAGATGCGGGTACAAGCGCTGGTGGGAGACCCTACTGCAAGTGCACCGAGCCCAAATTCGCTACAACATAGAAGTGGCTGGCATCCAATCCAGAATCATCTTATCAGCCATAGCCTCATGTCTCAAAGATCAACAGCTTTCTGAGGCCACGTTGGCAACCAGAAGCAAGTACGGCTTGCGCCTGGGTAAGTCGATTTGGCATGCCATGCCATCACCAACATCTGAATTCGACTTTAATCCTGCGGTTGGCAGTGCATGGGATCTTTGTGCCGCTGTAGGACCTGCAGCACTACAGTGGGCGAAGGAGATCGCTGAATGGTCGGAGACAGTTCCAGCTACCATAGGCATTATTGCATACACGAGCTTTCTTTCACTTCTCGAACGATGCAAGCTGCACGCCGAAGTCGACGAGCTGTTGGATCAGATTTCGGCTTCCGAGGATGCTTCACCTAATGCAGTCCTGCTTGGCAACTTGATCAATGAAGCGGGCATGCTGCTCAACTGGAGACGCGCGGACTTAATTTGGGACAAGTTTGTGAGCAACTTTGCTGTTGAACCCAACCACATCTGCTACGTGGCCTATGCAAAGGCACACCTTTTGTCGGCTAGGCCCACAGTAGCCGTTCGGATGTTGGATCGTATGAGAAAGGCCGGCCTGGGCTCTGGCAATGGACAAGCATCAGTTGTGTACCTGCAATGCTTGCTACTCATATGCCATTCAAGCCCGACAGAGTCTCACCTCTCCGAACTGACCACTTTTTTGAAAGGATCCGCCGGGCTCAACGTCACGGGCTCGGGACGCCTCCTGAAGTCGAAGTGGCGCCAACTGCGGAACTCTGCGACTCAACTAGCTTCAGAGCCGTCGTCTCTGACCCTGCACCAACTGCTCGTTCTGGACCACGTGAAACGGCGAAGTGTGATGACGACCTGGACTGACTATGCAGCCGGGTCGGAGTACCTCTCGAGCCAGACTTCCGAAGCTGTCCGAAAAGATGAGGCCTTCGGAAGCCTAGGGTGTAGGTTTTCGGGACTACAAGTTCCTCTGGGCCCATCGGATTATGGAAATAGCCATCGTTCAGCTCAGTGTGTAAGCTGACAGATCACAGTTATGCAGCAGAAACCTTGTCTCGTATAGTAAGACGTTTGAACCCAAGCCGCATTCAGGATTGAAGCTGGGGCGATGCTCTCTCAGACTCTATCTGGTCTTTGAACACAGCACCCCAGGCTCTAAGACACCGGGATGTGTTATGGTTTGATCGAGCGTGAAGGAACATGGACTCCGATGAGTACTGTTTGACCCCGAGGGTCTAAGGGCCCGTATGGTCGGGCTTTAGGTCCCAAAGCCAGTCAGAGCATAGTGTTTGGGAGCTACTGTGGTGTGTACTTAGAGTCTCTAGGTGAGCGATGTACTTCGTATAGCGCCCCTTGCCGGAACTGCCATAAATCAGAACTCCGATCTTTGGAAGAACCAAGACGCGAGATTTTGGTTTCGAGGTTTCCAATGGCTTGTCTGGATTTGGCTCTATCAGGGTGAAGCGGTTTAGAATAACAGATGATAGTAGACAATTCAATTACCAAGTAAGAAGAGAATTGGAACCTCACTCTAAATAAGACACAAGACCCTAGACCTTAAAAGGGAAATCCGTCACCGATTCCGCCTTCTTCAGGCCGATTCGTTCAAGCGGCGTTGGCTCCAGCACTGAGTTCTCTGCAAGGCCCTCTCACGCTGTGTGGTTTTCCGGCTTCCTTAGCTCTTAAACCACAAACCCCTAAAGTGTGGCTTGGTGTGGACGGTAGGGAGTTCGAGGTGTCGGGCCTGCGGAACCTTAGGCCACACCTCCAAATTTAAACTAGTCCTGAACCCTTAACCCCTCAACCGCTAGTCGAAGCCTTACACCGCCAACCCCTAAAGCCCCAAGCCTCTAACTCCGAAGCCCTTATAAACTGTAAACCCCGGAAACACCATTGCCCTTTGACTGTACGGACATGGTGATGCCAGGTGGTCTTTGCAGCCACGAGGTGCCTCTTGCTCCAAGCTGGGTTTCGGAGTATCAGGTGAACCGAAAGCTTGTGTTGGCATGCAGAATCCTGCCGTACTCATAAGATTGAGGCCTGACCGTCGTCATGCCAGGTACTAATCTGATTATAGTCCTCATATAAGTACAGTTTCGTGTGCCTTAGAACCTTAGTCAGACAAAGTTTCTTGTCTGCATGCCAGGCATTGAATTGCTTGCCAAGCTTCGGCGCAGCCTGGGCTGCAAGTTTTTCAGGATGGCACCTCACTTCCTGCCCGGGGCGCAGGCAGTTAAGGCAAATCATCTCGCAACTAGAACCCGCCTAAATCTGCTGTAGAGCTCTGGGATTTTCCAGTGTATGCTGCTAGCAGTTAGCCAACCTGGTGAGGGTATGTAGCTAGGCAGCAGGTCTTTGCATAGCCAGAGGGGCGTGGCGAGGTGATGTTAAGACTGGACGGTTTGAGGTTTCTGTTGTTGGATGTCAGGGCCTTAGGGTTTAGGGGTTATTGTAATTGGCGTAGCATCCGAGGTCCATGGCACGCGTGAGGGCCTAGTCTTGCTGCACATTGAGCCTCGAGCGAGGCTTCTGCCACAAGAAAACCCGCTGAGCGTGACACTCGTTTTGTTTCGTTTGGGGTTGTGGGTTTCGTGAGCGGCACTATTGCATGTATTCAATACGCTGCTGGTCTTTGGATTTCGTGCCATGCACTTATTGTTTATGTGCAGTTAATGCTTAATTGATCGATGGGTCTCCAAATTCGCGACGAGATGTTCCAAAGAAGATGCAGCGTCCCTTTGTGGGCAAACTCGTTGATGCAGTGTCACGATTTCGTCCCAAACCAAATATCTAGAGCGGTGGAATTGCATGCAGCCTGTTCCGCACCTGCAGGAACCTCAAGCTACATGTTAAAGATCAGTTCGGCAAAGAACAAGCCAGAGCTAGCATTCACGCATTCTGGATATGCACAGCAGCCGGACTTCTGCGAGTAGTTTATGGGTTAGGCAGTTGAAGGTCAAGGTTTGAAACACTTCTCTACTCAGTCTGCCAGCAAAAGTTTCAAGACTTCATGCTGCATGGCCTCTATGCCTATGTAGCTCAACACTATGTTGCTCTCTCTTCCCGTGGACTGCAGATGGGAAGATGCTCGATTGCCGGGCAAAGCCATGGTGCGAGCAAATGAGCCATGCAAGATGAAGCGCGGCCCTCTTGAAATTGCACTGGTCATCAGCTGAAGCCTGCTACAAGTACGAACACACTCAGTGGTGACGTCGCCACCGCATGCCTGATGCAGAGGATCTTTCGCCGGCTTCACCTGCGGCCTCGCGTTCTCAGGACCGAAAGAGAGCATGCTGGAGCAGTTTTGTGGAAGTAGACAGTCGACGCAGGAGGCCGTGAGGAAAGAGCTGCTGCGACAACGTCTTCGGCAGGCGTTCTCATGACGTACTTTGGGGAGCAACAATATTCCCCCATAATCGTCCTCGTGTAACTATTATTGTCTATGTCCTCCAGACCCCCCTTCCAATTGTTAGGCCCCTACACCATTCCCCTGGCACGTTGGAAGTTGACCTAGCCATCTTTGACACTGCTCTTGCCTGGAAGGCGGGGAAGAAGCAAGCTGCGGCCGTGTTCCACGATGGGGCCATTCAAGGCATGCAAACCCAACTCCCTAAACTCCAAACCTAAGCCCTTAGAACCCTCAATCCGTGGAACCCCTGATTACAACACACAAGCCTAAACCCCATCGGATTGTGCCCCCTCCGCCGACCTTGCCCACAGTGACTTTTGTTAGGTGGCCTCGCTGGGGTGGTCAGCGCTGCCAAAGACAAAGAGGCCAGAGGATCTGTAGTATCGTAGAGTCATCCTGAAGCATGAGCAGAGGGATAATGTCGGAAATGAATGAACGGGTAGAAGTTATGATCATAGTGGTAAATTGAATATCCTAGCAGTCCTAGCAAAGGTCATCTGGATCAATAATGGGACCGAAGCTGCAAGAATGTACTGTGTAGTGCGAAGCAGCACGGTCATGGTGAGTCCTAAGCACTGCGCGAGGCTCGGAGCGAGAGCCCGACCGTTGGGCGTGAGCTATCGAGAAGGAGCACCCTGGCACGGAAATCCCGAAAGGATGCTGGAGGTGGGAGGATGTGGAAGTTTCATGCCTGCTGCTTCCGGCCAAGGCAACGACAGCGATGTCAGCCGAGCAAGCTCCTTCTGCGAGGCGAACCAGCGCTGAAGCATGGAAGAGCGTTCATTGATTCTTTGACCTTGCCGTGATTACAGTGCCAGGATGGGCCTTCGCGAAGGCCTCCCAGCAGATGTTCGGCATAGCACAGCAGCATTCCTATGTGTCAGATTCATATTGCGATGATCTGGAGTGCCAGTATGCTCTGGTGATGCACAGCTGGAGGGATGAGACAGCGAGACCTGGCGGCGAAAGGAACGTAAGCTAGATTAATGTAAATGCTAAGCCTCACAAAAGCGTAGAAGTATGAAGCCTCTATTCTGACACCTGCAGACTTCTGAGTTGTGGACGAGATGGGAACTTAGCAACGTCAGAAGCTTGTCTCAGCAGTTTCCAGAAAGCCTGAACACATACGAATTAAAGATGTAGTCAAAGCAAGAACGACAACAATAATAACTATAATAGTTATATTCCTTTACTGTTCTTATTAAGCTATTTGTCAGAACTATTGAATATATTTGTTAGTATTGCTATTCTTATTCTTATTATTGCTGAAAAATGACAGGGTTTGGGGTTTAGGGGAACATACAACCCCCAGCACCAGGAGGAATTCTAGATAACGGATCCCTAATTTCAACGAATCCCCGAGCCCAATACCTTTGTCAGGGCGTCGGCTGCCTCCGTGGTGTCCAACAAGGGAAAATCCCTGAACCCGGCTCTTCGGCAGATTCGAGCGTCTGAGTTTAGCTTGTGACGGCTTTCTGGTTTTTTGTGCTGCTGAGTATTTGATTCTTCTTGTTGCCATGGTTCTTACTGGTTGTTCCCGTGGATCTGACCGCCCACTGTCCTAGGGTGGACACCCTGTAATTATCTATGGGTCATACGGTCATACCCTACTATTTCGTAGAGTTTGGATCGAGAGGACTCGCGTCACGTGCGCTACCGCACAAGCACCTTCTCGCTACCACTACTGCTGCTGTAATTATTGCTACTGCTACTGCTGCTACGACGACGACTACTACTACTGCTGCTGCGACTGTGGATGGACAACTTCATAAACGGCTTTGAGTGATTCCCGCCCCTCCCCCCTTTGTTTGAACTCCTACCAATGTCATGTCCAGCGACTGGAAACCGACAGTGCGTACCCACCCTCGTCTAGGGTGCCTGGACTCAGGACACACACAGCACGGCAGCTCACTCCATCTACAGTCGACGCTTTAATTACAGTCAACACTGCCAGAATGTTGGAAACTCCAGCACTTGGCTGTTCTGGACATGTTTACAATGCCTAATATTCTGCTTTAGAACGAGGGCAGTGTGGAATCTGCCGGTTATCTCAGGGTGTTGTGTAGTGTTGACTGTCAAATCATTTCGCATGTATTTGCGTTACCTAGAGAGTTCAAAGCATCATCCCTGCAAAGCTAGAGCCAAAGCCGTTGAACCCACCGAGTAGCTCTTAAGAAGGACACGCTCGTAAAGCACACCCAGCAACAGTTGCCGAATGGGACCGCTACTACTGTTTGTGCTACTACTGCTAGTGCTATTGCTGCTGCTACTGCTGCTCCTGCTACTGCTACTGCTACTACTACTACTGCTGCTGCTGCTGCTGCTGCTGCTGCTACTGCTTGTACCGCTACTGCTACTTCCATCACCTCGCTGGTGGTTTGCCGCTAAGGGCGAGCTCCGCGCCTCGGCATCAGTTGGTGGCCAATGTTTGCTCAAACACCAGTGAGAGTTGGGGGTGTTCTGTACGATGGAACCGCTCTGGTCAGGAAAGTCGCTCCGGAGCCTTCGAAAACCTGCGCTGCAGATTCAGACAGAGGCATCAGGGAGTTGGGGTTTAGAGTACAAGAGTTCAGGTATGGGATTTGGTTTTCGTTGGCCAGGTTTAGGGTGCTTTTTCATCGGTGCGGCGTGGGTGCTGGCTCATCGCTGTGGCGTAGCCCTGCAGCATTGACTCAAGCAGCAACAGTACGCTGTCCACGAGCAGGTGGAGGACGCTCCCCAGCGAAGTGCGACCAGGCCCTCTGCTCAGATAGCAATCCACCCTTATGCTGTAGTCTCGACGCGCGTGTATCCATGCTTTGGGTTAAAGTCTGCATTGTCAGGATCCCTTAATAGAATTTGAAGCAAGATAGCAAAACAAAGAACTGCCATGCAGGTTCTAGGTAAAATGCCGATACTTGGCATGGAATGCTTTTGATTTTCGGTGCAGGGGCACCGTGAGCGCGCCGCTCCCCCTGAAGCCCGAGAAGGCTTTGTCTTCGCTGAGCATCTTCAAGAACTGCTGCGAGGCACAGCAGCGGTAAACAAGACTTGGGTTTTGGCGGCATACTATAACACTATGCGGGCTATCAGGGCTACAAGGTGCAAGCCAGGCTTGGATTCGGGGGCACAGTATACTATAAGTATGATGATGTGAACTAAATAACTACGTATATAAACGAGGTACACTTGACCTTTCCATTTCTGGATATTGCCATGTGCTTCGGGCAGTCATTCTTCTACCACTTGGCTGCCCTTGGTGAGCAAGTGCTGCTCAGAGGTGGCCGGAGCCCAAGAAAACCAACCACCCACGGCTCGCACTGTGGAGCAAGTTTAAATTAAGTCCCAACCCCTCAAGACTCTGAATGCTGAGCCCTAAACCCTTGAACCGTTTAGATTCCAAAGCCTAGTGCTGGATCACTGCATCCCTTGCTTGCTCCAGTGAAGCTTCAGAACCCGAAAAAGGCGAGGTGAGATTTACAAGACCCCTGGAGCGATTTCAGCAAGTCTCCCCAGTGGCTCATCCCATATAGTATCGAGACCTCCTGGAGCCCATATAGACCTTAAGACCCTAAACTCCAAGCAAGACCCACCACCCTCAGCCCCTCAGCCCCTAAACTTTTAGGGCTCAACTTCCACGCAGCCCCTTTCACACCATCCCTGCAAAACATCATTGCATCCTTATGGAACCCTAGAGAGCCCTTAGGTAAACACCCTAAGCTACTGAGCCCAAGCCAAGCTCGCTGACCCCTAAACCCTAAACCCTAAACCCCAAACACTCCTTGCCACTACCTCAACCAGCATGGTATTCCTGACCAGATGCGGCATGAAAAAGAGGTCTCAAAAAAAAAAAGAAGCCCAAAACGGAAAAAGGCGTTCAACAAAAGAAGACCCTGAGGCGAGTATCGAGACCTGCGGGGACCCGGAGGCTCGGAAGGGCCCAGGCTGCCGGTCCAGGGTTTTTTTTTGCTGAGGGGTTTGCTGAGGGGTTTGCAGGTTTCGGGTTTCGGGGTTGGGGGTTTGGGGGTTCAAGGTTTTTTACAGGTTAGGGTATCGGTATTAGGGTGTTTAAGGAGCTTAGGGGGGCCAGGGGTCAGGGCGGGGTGTAGGGTTTGGGCTTTCAGGCTCTTCGGTTTAAGGGTTTGAGGTCAGGGCTTAAGGGTTTAGAGGTGCATCCAAACCATGCTCCGTTTCACTAAGCCTGCCGGCCCGAGACCGTGACTCAAAAAGGGAGTTTGTGGGTCTTGTCGTCGAAGGTCTAGGGCTGAAAGGGGGTTCAGGCTTAGGGTTTAGTGGTTTAGGGTTTAGTGGTTCAGGGTTTAAAAGGTTTAGGGTTTAGGGCTCAGGGTTTGGTGGTTTAGGGCTTTGGGGCTTCAGTTAGGTTCGACTTGGCGGCCGAAGTTGAGAGAACGCCTCAAGTGATCAGCACTCGGTTGAAGGCCAACGGGTCACCAGCGATTCAGCCAGACGCCGAGGAGAAATTCGGGTCCGTCTTTAAGGAGCTACCTGAAGTGACAAAAACCGGAATAGCACATATAATTTTCCAATTTTACAATACTGTGTTTATATGCATATGATAACGTGTTCTCTTTTGTCTGGTATCTGTAGCACAAAATTCACTGGGACATGTTGTTCCGACTCAGCCAAAGAATATACTATGTCCTAGCATCACAGCATACGGATGATACATTGAGACTGTTGATTGGCTCCTTTTTTGGGGGTCTTGGTGATCAGGGGACGCACGTTAGGTTTCTCTTGGGTCGGAGGGGACTGCACTGTTGTCGAGTGCTGCGAAAATGAGAGCCCGATCCGATCCTTGTCCAGTTACCCTGGTCCCTGGATCAACCTTAACCCCGACTTCCTGCACTCCTCCACCCAAGCCGGGGTAGCGCCGCCGAACCCAGACCCAGCCAATAGTTCAAACGTACCTAACTTAGAACTCTACTCACCAAGTCCCCTGGTCCTCCAAGTAGGCCCGCCTTCTCCCTCGGCCGAGGGCAAGATGGCAGCTGCAGCTGTGGTTATCAGCGGCACCTTCCGTGCCTTAGCTTCGCCAGATTTCATTGCTACTCTCGTGGTGAAGCTCCGTGGTCAGAGCGTGGGCTAAAGGAAGTTTTGCTTTGTTTTTTGGGATGGGAGCCACCGCGCCCTTTCCGGCCGCCATGACGCGACGAGATCGTAAGTGAGAAATGAATTGTGTGGCTGCGCCTGTGGCTGCGACGGATGACTTGTCCCTGAAAATCATGCGGCTGATGCAGTTGCCACGCTTGTTGCGGTTGGGTCATCATGAATGCGTGTCTGTGCAACCCCTACACCCGAACCCCCAAAACCCCAAACTCTAAAACCGGTCCTCTGTACCATGTTCTCTTTCGCAAGGTGTGGAGGTGAACGGCGTCGCTACGGAGGAGCTGAATTCTGGTCAGGCAGGACGCGGCATGCAAGGGCCGATTGCGTCAGGCAGGCTTGTATAAGGGTTCTATAGAGGTTGGTACTTGCTCGCCTTTTCGGTTTCCGGGGGTGCAGCGTCTTTTGCCAGATTGGTGATGGGTCGGCAAGGAAGTTTGGGGCTGAACCAATATCACATCGAATGGCTTTGTCGTCGAGACAAGTGCGCGACCGCAACGAAGCCTTGCAGGTAGGAGTGACTTGGCGCTGCCATCCTCCAAAGTGCAGAACCAGGAAACGAAAGAACTGCCTGAGGCAACGATAGCTTGCGTGCTTCTCTTCACGTAGGCTTACCCCTATCTTTAAGATCGACGATTTGTAGGAATCTCTGGTGGCCTTAGGGGATCCCTACTGCTCTTGATTCGGTCTCAAAGCCACGAGGCATGCCCTGGTCGCGCACAGTTTTCTTGGAGACTTAGCCGTGTTGCCTTCTTTGAGATGCAGGCCTTCGGCTTTGCAGACGTGGTGGCTCTAGGCAGGTATTTCGCTCGTCAGACTTCTGTCTCTTTTCCCGGCAGCTGGCAGCAATGTTGCTGTCAGGGGCTGATTGTGGGCAGCGCTTTCTGCAGTCGTGCAAGGCATGCACAGTCATGGCGGTCATCGCGTCCCAACTCCTGGCATAGCACCTTGGCAAGTACTTGGGCAGGGATCCGTGACGCCAGACTGTAGCAGCATTTGACCTGAGGTTTCCCTTCGTGCCACGACCAAGGCGTGGGATGTTTGTTCAGCTGGTTGTGCCGGTTGTGCACTTAGCCGGGAACCTGCGAACTAGACTGTCCAGAAGACGAGTGTCAGGAAAATGAGAGTTCGGCCGAGCCTCAACCTTTCCACCCCTTCCTGCATGGAACAGACCTCGACCCTTTACTCCAAGCCATCATGCGGCGAGCTCGAGCTCTGTCAGGACATGGGGCCTCCGAACTCCGTGCGCTTGCCCTGCTGTCCCGACGCTGAGACCAGGTGTCGGTTCGACGGCCAGTTGGAGCCCTTGTGGTTCTTTAGTAGTATAGGTACTCAGATTGCGATCTTGAACAAGGGTATGACGGGGGCCTAGAAGTATCATGGGCTGCGGCCGCCTTCCTTGCGCTCGTTGCTCTTGTTGCTGTTTTTACTGCCTCCCCTACTGCTGTCATTGTTGAAGGTCATCTGTCATTTGATGCAGCGGCCACCTATGTTCACTCCTAGTGGTACATGACTGTCGACCTTGTGCCGACTGACCCGAGGTTGCTTCCTCATTCGTGCCGGCGCTGTGCGGCGTGCAGTCCAGGAGATGCCGGCGGAGCAGGTGCGGTTCAGGGGTTAGGGGTTTTGGGGTTTAGGCCTGCATCCTGAGATCCTGCAAGAAAAGATGACTCCTTTCATAGGCCCTATGGAATTGTACATTCATTACGCTCCTTTGTCTATCTGTATACACACCTGTCTATCAGTGTGACTGTTCCTGTCGATCCGTTTATCTATCTATCTATCCGTCTATCCATCCAGCTATTTACTTATTTATCTATCTATCTATCTATCCATGCAACTATCATTCACTATCCATCTTTAGTGGAGTACAAATGCCCACAAGCAATGCAGATCCTTCCTGCCATGCACTGGCCAGCTTTTCGCCAAGCAACACTCAAGTTTCAGGGCGGCATGTCAAGCCTCAACTGCTGAGCATCAGAAGCCCTGGGTCGATGAAGCATTGTTGAGCCGCGAAATTTTTACAATGCCCGGAACCATCCTGAACCCCGAAACCGAAGAACGGAAAGCTTTGAATCTGCTGGCAGGCTCGACTGGAGCCCTTGATGGAGATTCTGAGCTCGAAGCTCAGGCGGCTGGAGCTCGCAGGGACCAATGCAAAGGCCTGAAAGATTAACAGTGCCATCCCTTCTTCTTCGAGTATCCGCCCAAGCCCAATTCTAATTGTTAGAAGGCTCCTACATTGGGCTTCTGCCACAGGAAGCAGAAAGAACTCGCATCCACTCCTACTGTACCACCGTTGCGGAGGGTGGGGCACTTGTTGCTGATCATGCCATTGCGTATGTACGCCCAGGTCACAAAGGCAAAAGCAACGACTTCCTAAAGCCGTTGATGCCTGGACCTTGGATCGAAAAGCTCGGTGCAGGGAGCAGGGTGCCAATTTCGGAAGCCCAAAGTACAAGCAATTTTGAGGCTTGTTGAAAATTGACACCTAGCCGACCTAGCAATTGATTGTAGCGCCTTTGCCTGGCGGCCTTTCCATGTAGACGGCTGCACAAGTCACCGGTTAGGAGCAATTGCGTACCGTAGTTCATTCCCCGTGGGTAGATACCTCAATTTAGGGCTGAGGGTTTAGGATTCAAGACTCCGGCACTCCGCATGGCGCCGGCGACGAAGCTTCTTCGTGGCATGCATTCTAGTACCAAGCTGTCCTCAGTGACATGTCTGCCAAATCTTGGCTTTTGAACCCAAACTTCCTGCAGGATTTGAGTCAGAGCTTAAAACGTACGTGGGAGTTGAAATAGGCGTGAGTAGTAGGATCCTCATTACAGAGACCAAAGAAGGTAGTTTGAGTGACCCCCCCATTTAGTCCAGTCAGCCTCGTGCTTTGTTTCCTAACCCTGACGAACTAAAGTTGATGCACTAGTGGTGAGTCAAACCGTTGAGCAGCGCAGATGCCCTCAGGACCGCACTGCAGTGCGGTGAGGCTGCCAGGCCACATGTGTCACAGCCTGAGAGAAGCAAGTTCTGATCATTCCAGAGTGCCGACGTTCATCCAGAATCAAGAGCCAAACTGCTGTGCACAGCCTTCAGGTTACACTCCTCAACAAGGCCTCGCGGCTGCAGAAGTCGGCATGCACCCTGCTGTCTGCTGATCAAATGCCTCAGATGCAGGATTGCGGTTGTGCTTGTAATCTCATGCTTTGCTGTACTACTATACCATATCTTATGCTACCATAATTATACCGTACCAGACCGTACTATACCATACCGCACCATACTGTACCACATTACACCATACTACACCATACTATACTGTACCATTCTATACCGCACTATGCCAGGCTGTACGATTACTCATAAACTATACTATACTATGCTGTACTAGGCTTTACTATACCGTACTGTAACATACTATGCCATGCTTTGCCAAACTATAGTTTCCCATACCATACCACTAATGTTAAGTTGTATTGTGCCATAACCTAGTATACAGCACAATTTTACGGTATGGGTACAGTACTATACTATATGTGTTTATATATGTATATATATTTTTATTATACTGTACAATACTAAATAGACTAAACTAAACTAAACTATACTAGACCATGTTAAACTGTGCTTTACTGTACTATGCTTTACTATACCATAGTATAATAAACTATACTGCACCATACTTTACTTTACTATATTTACCATACTATACTGAACGGTACTATACTAATCTGTATGTACTATACTTTACCATGCTCTCAGATAAACTAGAATACACCATCAGACATTACGATATGCTGCAACGTGTTCTGGCTTCATGCCCGTGTCCCCAGGCATCTTTTCTGCGAGGGAGAGTTGATCGTCACGCAAGGCAAAAGGACAGATGAAGGGACGAATCTGCGTCGGGCTGCTTGACGCTAAACTCCTAATTTTTTAGGGTTTAGGGCGGTTCCAAATTACATCCTACCCCGGGAGCGCAAACTGAACCCTAAACGCCTAATTAGGGCCCAAACCTCCGATGCCCCCCAGGCCCTAAAGTATCCCGACCCAGCCTCGGGCTAGAACCCGAGAGCCCACAACCCCAAAGCCCTTGAGCCCTGGAGCGCCTTCGGGGGGGTTCAGGGTTTAGGGTTTAGGGCCCTAGAGCCTCTAAGCCCCTGCACCCACAACCCACCAACACCTTTGCAGGAAGTTTGAGGGCTTGGTGTTGGTCCGCCGTGGCAGCGTCTCCATGCAAATCAACGGTGTGGAGGCCTCCTCGGGTGTGACGGTTGAGGGATTGGGGTTTTAGGGTCAGGCTTTGGATTTGGCACTATATATAATATGGGGCAAATATAGCGGTCGGAATGACTAGTGGGAGTATTATCTGATGGCTGTTCTCTAATATCCACATACATACATATATATATATATGTATATATATATATATCTATGTATGTATGTATGTATGTATGTACGTATGTATGTATGCATGCATGCATGTATGTATGTATGCATGTATGTAGTGTACCGAGGGGCCTTCATGTCGGCCTCCGCTCGAATTTGCAGGTGCGGCGATTCGCCACGGGCCAGGCGCGGCTCGCTGCCAGGCTTCTGCTTTGTCCCAGTCTTGGGCTTAGGATTTCAGAGCTGGGGTTTTTATACCTAAACCCTAAACCCCTGCCAAGGCGAGGGTTTAAGGTTTGGGGGTTTAGAGGTTCAGTGGCTTTATGGTTTGGGGGAGACCTCAGGGTTTAGGGCTTAGGGTTTAGTTAGGGTAAACTGAGACCATGGGTTCACGGGTCCAGGTCGTCGGCGAGGAGATGTTGATGAACGTCTCAGGAAAGTGGAGGCTCCCGTGGATGTCAGGGCTAGCCAGGGACCTTTGCCGTTTGTTCTACTTGTCATAAGGAAAATCATCTCATGCGGTCCCACCCAGAGCTATGTAGATGACGAAACCCCAGGCAAGAACTTTCACGTAGAGTACAGGACCCTAGACCCCAACCCTCTTTCCATCTCTCAGTATCCCTCCCCCACGTTTGTCTTTCTATCTGGTCCTCTTGCTGTCTGAAAACCCGGTAGATTAGATGCTCGAGGACAGTACCTGGCTCGAATCCTGCAGACCGTGGCTGCTGTCCGTGTATTGTCCACGGCGGCATTTTGGGGTTTAGGGGTTGGGGGTTCAGGGGTGCAAGGATTTAGGGATTAGGAATTTAGGGGTTTCGGGATTGCGGGTTTAGCTTTCAAAGCCTAAGCCTCACTGGCTCAGGGTCTAGGTCTGCCGCCTCTGTGGGCCTGCGGCAGGTACAGCCTCGTCTGCTTGTCCTTATGCGACATTGTGATCCTCCATCGGAAATCATTCCTGGCCTCTGTCTGACCCTGAGACAAAGCCGACACCCTATATCCCCAGAAGCCTCAAATCCAAAATTCCTACCAACCTTAAATCCACATACTGAGGTCAAAAACCTAAAGTCGCCAAGCAGTTCTGAGGACGTCCGACAATTTGTAGAGGTTCTCTGTTGCATCTCTTCGGGTTTCAGGGATTCAGAGTTTAGTGTTTAGGGTCTTTAGGGTTTTTGGGGGCTGGGGGCTTGCCGTAAGCTTTGAATCTTGTTGAGACCTGCGGTTTTCCTCAGCTCATGTGCCAACCCCTAAATGTGGTGCCCTCAAACTCCAAAAATCCCAACCTCTCTGAACCCTAAATGACCAAAACCCTTTCACCCCGAATCTCTCTAATATAGGGGCCTAAATGATTACCTTTGCCACTTTGGGGGTTCCTGATTATAATTACAGTATAATTTTTCCCCAACACCCTATTCTAATCATTGAGGCCCCTACTCGTATATTATTCAAGGCCTCCCCTGACGCCATTCCAGGAGGGCCAGGAGTGCCAGCACTTGCTTTCTCTTCTCGAGGGTCAGTGGAAGGAGGCTGGGACCTTAAACCTCGTCTCTAGGGTTTAGGGGTGTAAGGGTTTAG